GCAGACTTGAGCCTACTACAGCCAGCGGCAATGCATCGTTTCCCGTGTGTTTTTCCTCCCGTTTTCTTCACTGTCGCCTCCATTGTCAGGTTTTCTCGATTGGCAATCACTTCCAGTCGACTCCGAAAAACTTTGCAGTAAAATACTCGCTCAAAAACTTTGATAAATTCGACTTTGAAACAGAGAAACAATAAACTGTGATGAATGTAAACACTTCGGCAGCGACCATCTCGTGACGTCACGCAGTAGATCGCAAGCCACGCCCACGAAGGCGGAGGACAACTGCGGATTTCCAGGCGGCAAATTCAAAACTCGTCACATTCGTTGCTATTCCAACATCTTTTGATATCGGTTCCAATGGACAATTTGGGTCATTACTATACGTATTAGCATAACAGATCATGCACAGGCGCACACTTCAAGGGGTCTTTAAGTACAGTATAAAGTATTTGTACTCCACTACTTCCCACCTCTGTATCTAGGGCAACAGGTGCAAACTCAACGCCCTGAACGCTCCATCAGGAGGAACTCTTCATTACCTTGGAGGGCAGCATGTTGACCTCCACGATGTAAAGGCCTCCCATCCGAGAGACGGCCATCCCCACGATCTTCTCCAGCAGGAACACCAATCCTGGAACCACGAACCACTTCCAGAAGTTCGAACAGTGCACCATGAGCAGAGACCACACCCACACATAGGACAGGTGAGACCAGTAAAATACCTGCAGGACGACAACACACACACACACACACACACACACACACACACACACACACACACACACACACACACACACACACACTGTGTGTGTGTGTGTGTGTGTGTGTGTGTGTGTGTGTGTGTGTGTGTGTGTTGTCGTCCTGCAGGTATTTTACTGGTCTCACCNGACACTGTCCAACACCGTACAGTGGTCAGGAAACTACTGGACATGACTGGTGACCTGCATCTGTGTCAAGTCATCAAAAGCCTCCTCAACAACAGGCGCTTCTACGTCCAGTTAAATGACCAGAGGAGCAAGTGGAAAGCCCAAAAGAACGGCCTCCCACAAGGTAGCGTACTGGCCCCCCTCCTGTTCAACATATACACAAACGACCAGCCATTACCCCGAGAATGCCAGCGTTTTATCTACGCAGATGACCTCTGCATCACCACCCAACAAGTAGACCTCCAGAAGATTGAGCCTGTCCTTGAAAGTGCCCTCCAAGAAATGTCAAGCTACTACAATAACAACCACCTGAAACCCAACCCATCAAAAACCCAACTATGCAGCTTCCACCTGAGGAACCGAGANNNNATGCTGCTCCAGTTATTTGCTTTCCTTCAAACCCATCCTCAATGTGTTGGGTGAGGTTGAGTAGCTGTCCAGCACAGGAGCGGCCAGGACGGAAACCAGCTTGGTCTTTAGTCAGCTTGGTGTCTATGAATGGCATGAGGCATTGGAGTAGCAGCCTCTCGTAGAGCTTGTAAGTGATGCAGAGGAGGGAAATGGGTCGGTAGCTCTTTGGGGATGATGGGTCTTTGCCGGGTTTGGGGATTGCAACCACTTTGGCCTTTCTCCAGACAGGAGGGATGGTTTTTTGTGCCATACATGTGCAGGTCTTGACAGTAACGGTTGCCAGGTTGCCATTGGCAACCATTCAGAAAAAATGTCAACCACTTCTTGGCCTTTTGTTGCTATCAGTGGCAACCGGTTTTTAACATGAAGAAATAAGGACAGCAAACAGCTAAATGTGTTCCCCAAAATAGATAAATGTTAATTATTTGTTGTATTAAGAGTGATATTTAATTGTTGTTATTTTGGGGAACACATTTAGCTGTTTGCTGTCCTTATTTCTTCATGTTAANTCGCCACTACGGAGAACGAGAGTCTCAGTTATCAACACACACGGAAGTTGAGGAGAAAGAGAAACGCAGTGCACCGAAAAATACCTACAAATCAAACGTCTGGCAACACTTCGGATTGTTCAAGAAAGACGTTGTAATAGTCCTTTTTGCTATATAGTTGACCGCAGGTCATGGAGAGTAATAAGGTATCCGTAGACCTTTGTATGAGGTATCTTTATTACTTAACAGGTCTACAGCCATGATACATAGATCCGTCCTAGATGCGGACTTGCATACACACAGTATCACTCCGCAGCCGCACCCCATCAGTAACGTCCTGATGGTATATGTACTATTACTACAGACGGTCAACTTGAAAAATCACTCGCAAATTGTTAACGATGCCGAGCCGCTTTAAAGTACACAAGTAGTACGAGGAACTTAGCGACGCACATAAAGAGGCGACGTGGGGTCTGCGGCTGAAAAGAGAAACCTGAAAGTGAGACATATGAGTTAAATCACTCAGTGAGGTGTTCTGTCAGAGAGAGGTGTTTAGCTTACAGCAGCCTGTGACGGCCAATAATAATTTAAATGTCTTCCTTACTGTAAGCAGTTATGAAATACCTGTTTGTGAAAGGTTATTTGTATTCTTTATTGTTCAGATAGAAACCACTGCTTTCTGCTCACTGGTGAGTTAGCCTCTGAGTGTTAAGCACATCAGGCTGGCAGCTGTATGGGCATTGCTCTATGGTAGCTGTTATTTGCAGATTGTTAATCATGAGCAATGCATCCTTACATTGTTTAACTGTGAGGTGTTATACAATTGTACTCTGGAGAGCTTTTAAAGGTAAAAAAATAAACGGGATGATGGGATGTGCAGTACCAAATATGTAAAGCACTTTTTTGTTAATGTATGATTTGCTGCATATAAGGAATAAAACAAAAATCCTCTGTCGTACCATATTGAAGTATCATTATTTTTACATCGTGTTGAATCGCATCGTATCGCCCCGAATCGCATAATGTTGAATCAAATCGTATCGAACTGTATCGCAACAGGGGTGAATCGTATCGTATCGCATCGCCNTCCCACAGGAGAGGACTCTCCCTCTCCTTATTGTTGAAACAGCTAATCTCCGTTAGCTCCGAGCTAGCACCAGATGCTAACGACAACCCTGTAACTCTCTCAGTCTCTCTTTCTCTCTCTCTCGAATCGACCAGTGGCCTTTATTTATCATGATCAATGAACGAATCTACGAAACAATGACACCAGCCAGGCTCACCTTCATCTTTTGGGAACAGAAACATCGCCACTTCGGCAGACTTGACGTTACTACAGCCAGCGGCAATGCATCGTTTCACCTGTGTTTTTCCTCCCTCTTTCTTCACTGTCGCCTCCATTGTCAGGTTTTCTCGATTGGCAATCACTTCCAGTCGACTCCGATACACTTTCCAGGAAAATACTAGCTCAAAAACGTTGAGAAATTTGACTTTGAAAAAGAGAAAAAATGAACGGTGGTGAATGTAAACAGTGCGGCGGCGTCCATCTCGTGATGTCACGCACTAGATCGCAAGCCACGCCCACGAAGGTCGACTGCAGATTTCCCCGGCAAATTCAAAACTCGTCAAATTCGTTGCTATTCCAACATCTTTTGATATGGGTTCCAATGGACAATTTTGGTCATTACTATACGTATTAGCATAACAGATCATGCACAGGTGCACACTTCACAGGGTCTTTAAGTACAGTAACGAAGTATTTCTACTTTGTTACCTCTGGTGAAGACTAGAAAAAGTGAAAGTCAAAAAATCCTTCGTCAACAACAACAAGTCCTAACACCAGTCCCAAGACGATACCAGTAAGTCCATATACATGTGAAAACAAGACTACCAAGTCCCAAGTAAAGACCAGCAAGACTAGTTCCAGGTGCCAAGACCAACAAGTCTCAAGGCTAGTGTCAAATCAAGACCTACAGGTCCCAAGCATAGTGTCAACTCAAAATAAGTAACAGCACTATTGCCATGTCATGACCCACAAGTCCATTTTGCAGAATGGTTCATTTCAAGTTATTATTGAACTATTGCATTAATTTCAGCTGATAAAGCTGGAGCTCATTTTCATATCTTTGCTTGATTTAAAAAAACTTTTTTTATCACTCTTTGTATCTCCCCCTGGGCTGTGTTTAACACTTACAGTATCGCAGTATCTTGATCTTGCTGGCGTTGCATATTTTTCTCAGCACAAAGAAGAGCTCAAAGTGATGACTGAAAAGCCTCCTGGCATCAAGCTGTCACCTGGCTGCCATACTTCAGGTGCATGCTGTGGGAAAACGCTCTCGGCTGACAGCACCACCGCATTTTTTTGTTGTCTTGTCATGGTAACCTGCAGGCCAGCGTCACTCACCTGTTTTAGGTAAAACAAGCTTGTTGCATTAGGTATGCACGTGATATGTGTTCCTCTATTTTAAATAAGACAAAACCTACAAAGGTATAGTTAATAAGTAGAGACTTTAAAAAAATGTTATTAGGCTGTCTAATTTCAAACAACTGTACATGTATTATAAAATATATTGCACATATGATTCATATGATTCGCTACAATTGCCCAAAACACTTGTATTAGGAGAAAACACGCTGCAATTTCAAAAAACGAAGCAAGTATGACATTTAGATTCTTGCACCGTTTCTTTTTTCACTGTTTTGTGTTTGCAGCGTTTCCTTTATGTAAACCCTGCGCATTTTTGGTCAAGTTGGTAAATGTTTCCTAAATGCAGCCTGCACACATGTTGTCTAGGGGATGTGCATCTCCATCACTGAGGCCGATGCGATGCGCATCTCGATACGTTGCCACGATAGGATACATTAACGATACATTTGAAACACCAGGCGATGCTATATGATACGATTCACCCCTGTTGCGATACAGTTCGATACGATTTAATTCAACATTATGCGATTCGGGGTAATAATGATACTTCAATATGGTACGACAGAGGATTTTTGTTTTATTCCTTATATGCAGCAAATCATACATTAACAAAAAAGTGCTTTACATATTTGGTCCTCTCTACTAGTACTGCGCATCCCGTCATGCTGTTTATTTTGTACCTTTTTTACCTTAAAAAACTCTCCAGAGTACAGTGCAATTGTATAACACCTCACAGTTAAACTATTTAAGGATGCATTACCCATGATTATTACATGGCTTAGTTGAATACTCGATTCTGATTGGTCAATTCAGAACATGTGACACGTTGTTAATCCAGAACAGACAGACCGCTGTCAAGGACTTATTGACCGTTGTTAAGGACGCTCACATCTGCACAACAAGTCCGTTCGATTTAACTGTATACAGTTTGGCCTTCATGCCAATCTAGATCCCTCCGCTTCGTGTCGGGCTCCTGATCAGCCTGTCGGTGTTCTTTTCCCCATAATGACCGCGTCGCAGCACATTATATGCATTGCTCATGATTAACAATGTGCAAATAACAGCTACCATAGAGCAATGCCCATACAGCTGCCAGCCAGATGTGCTTAACACTCATTCATAGGTTAACTCACCAGTGAGCAGAAAGCAGTGGGTTCTATATGAACAATAAAGAATAAAAAAAACTTTCACAAACAGGTATTTCATAACTGCTTACATTAAGGAAGACATTTAAATTATTATTGGCCGTCACAGGCTGCTGTAAACTAAACACCACTCTCTCTGACAGAACACCTCACTGAGTGATTTAACTCATAGTCTAACTTTCAGGTTTCTCTTTTCAGCCGCAGACCCCATGTCGCCTCTTTATGTGCGTCGCTAAGTTCCTCGAATTACTTGTGTGCTTTAAAGCGGCTCGGCATCGTTAACAATTTGCGAGCGATTTTTCAAGTTGACCGTCTTTCTTGAACAATCCGAAGTGTTGCCAAACGTTTCATTTGTAGGTAGTTTTCGGTGCGCTGTGTTTCTCTTTCTCCTCGACTTCCGTGTGTGTTGATAACTGAGACTCTCGGCCTCCGTAGTGACGAAGCAAAGATCAAAGACCGTCTCTGCTGAGTGCTGACAGGATGAGGGGATATTATATGAATTAATCGTTTTTTTTCCGATGCAAAGACGATACAATCGATGCATCGCGAGTTCAACCCAAACTGTAGCCGATGTGCACTCTTTCAACCGGTGCACTCGCATCTTGAACGTTTATGCTGGTGCACCGATGCGAATCGGTGAATCTTAACATCTCTACTAGGTGGGGAAGGTGCTTCTTAATTTGCAAGGGCAGCACGTTTCTCATAAAGGAAGCTTTTTGGGCCTATGTTTAACACATTACTATTCATATTCTTACTACCAACACCAAAGTCTAAAATGACTGTATTACAAGTAAAAGTCCTGCATTAAAAATGTTTAATTAGAAATGTAGACATATTATTATCAAAACAAAATGTTACTTTTATAGTTCACTGTTTTAAAACTTACAAAAACGAATGCATTATAATTTGTGTGTAACCCATGTAATTGTCAACCAGGTCAGATGACGTAGCGTAAAGATAGATTATGAACTTTTTTGAACGTTTGCATAGGATGTGTTTCACAGCTGGTACCACCAACTAACAAACTTTATTTAATAGAGAGCAGGCGGAGCCCTCAAAACAGGAAATGAGACAGCATTACTTCCTTTTTCCTTAAACAACTTGAAATACACCAGTCCGCAGCCAATTTTGATGCTTTACCATGAACACAGGTGCTGTTAAAGGTCAACTGTGCATGTTCAAATGTTATCACAGTGCCCGTTCTTCGCTGTTTGCAGCTTAAATGTACATTGTCTTTTGTTAATGTTCCTTTTTTATGTGCTATCAATAATAAATCACGTCATCCATGCAGCACTCTGCCTTTCAATCTCAAAGTCTCTTAGACCTCTTTGTCTTTTTCTGACTCTGTTTTCATCTGTAAAGAAAAAAAACTGCTTTGTTGACTTATGAGCACATGTAAAGGAGAGGATTGTGATTTTAGAGGCACTCGACGTTTGGAGTGAATCGGTTGGGCTGGCAGCAGTGTTCTGATCTGAGGAATGTAAAAAAGTTTGAATTTGATTAACGGCCAGTAATCTGCTGACACATGCAACAGCTTCAGGCCTGCAGCCAGAGAAGTACTGATTCCTGAGCAATGGGTACATTTCGCCTTTGTCTCTGCATGCATGACAACAGGTATGTGAGAATTCATAGTTCATATATTAACTTTGACACCTGCAAGCTGCATGCTCATCCTTTAATACACTTCATATTTAACCTTTTCACATTCTGTTAATGACACATCATCAAATTTAAGCTCAGGGTTTGCTTTTTTGAATTTTGCTGGTTTCCAGTGTAGATGTTCAGAAGATAGTCAAAACTGACAAGTACCAACCATGAAGTCAAGACTCTAATCAAGATATTTAAGTCAAAAGACGAAGTCCCAAGTCAAGACCAACATGTCCCAGAAGGCAGAAAAATATATCTTAAATAAAGACCAAGTCTCAAAACAGTCCCAGGGAAAGTTTCATGTCATGTCCTAACCCAAATCAAGATCGACAAGTCCTAAGACAAATGCCAAGTCAAAGCCGACAAGTCCAAAGTCCAGTCTGTAATCAAAGTTAACCTGTTAAACCCTGAGCCTGTTTTTCAGGTTTCAGGCTAGAAAATGCCATTAACACAACAAATGACTATATCTTCACTTCTAAAAGGGGCAAATTAATAATATTTTTTCTCAAAGCAAGGTTATATCTGTGAGTTGGATGTAGAAGTGTCAGAATCAATATAGATGTTTTTATTTTAAAGTAAATTAAGATGGAACATAGTAAAAACCCATTACTTACAGTGAAAAGTCACCCTTGAATGATGGGTTAGTAGACTAAAATATTTAGGAATCCAAACCATAACATATAATAAGTACCCTGTATCAAGATTGATGCAAAACAAGTGAAGTTCGATCTTTTTAGAGAGGTTTAGAAAAATAAAGTACAGGCGGACTCACCTCTGGGTAATTTGGGAACCATCAGTTCCATTTGACCTTTTTCACTGTAAAAATCATTTTATTACTTTGAATTATCACTATAGGTATTCATTCCATCCAAATACAACTGTTGTAAAAAAACAAAAAACATCTTGTAATCTGCTCTGTTATCTGCTGTCCGCTCTGTGCTCCATGCGCTCTGTGCTCCATGCGCTCTGTGTCCTGTAATTCCGGCTTCCTTACGTATAAACACTGCGTAGAGTCTGCTGCGTAAATATGCTGACGCTGGCTATCATACTTTATACTTTACGCTGGACCATATCTCTGGAACCCATTGGTCTATTTGGGTGATTGACACCTTTTTTTTAACCATTAGATCCAATAGAATCGATGGGCAGTTCCCAAATCCACGTAAACATTACCATTGCGGAGTGATAGTGATGCAAACGAAGCATATCTGAAAGTTGAAGCGCTGGACTGCTAAACTTTATACCATAAATATGATGATTATCAGTAAAAATGTCAACGTGACACAAAGACATTGGATTAACCTTGAGCGGCGTTTTTATTCCGTTGAAAACAACTTTTGATCACAAATCAACAAAAGCTAAGACGTAATTATTGTTATGGTTTTGAAACCGGATGTTGTTTTCTTTCTCTTTTCTGGCTGATGGCTCGTCGTACAGTGATAACATTACATGTATGGAATCACAGCTTGCTAGTCGACATCATTTCTTTTTTTTTTTACTTTTTTTTTATTGAACAAAGAAAATAAACAACACCTTACATCACTTTACAGCACATCAGTATCAATCTACACCAAAGACAGTACATATCAGCAAATGTTGGAAAAGATTAAATAATAAAAATGCAGAACATTTGAAAAATCAAAACAGGGAAAGAATAATACAAACAAGAAATGACAATAGAGTCGTAGTAATATTAAAAATAATACCACACATACATCAAAGGATCTGGGATTGTTCTCAGGCAGAGAAATACCTTGTCAGGGGAGACCACCTCTGTTCAAACAGGTCTGTCTTTAAATTGTAATTGGGCAGTCAGAGCCTCCATCCCATATACCTCCTTTAATTTTAGTTTCTATTGTGCCAGTGTCGGTGGTTGTGGCTTCCTCCAATTCAATGTCACCATTTTCCTAGCAGTTATCAGGAGTATATGCAACAGGTACTTCTGGTTTCTATTACATACATCCTCTGCAACCAGATGACTTGAGCGGTAGATCAATTCCCATAATTCTATCTATCTCCTCCTTTGTCCCATGCCAGAAAGAGACCATCTTTGGGCAGTCCCAGAATATGTGTGAGTGGTCACCAATCAGGCCGCACTCCCTCCAGCAATACTTTGCTGTGGGGGTGTCTATAAATTTGGAAATGATCAAGGGTGTCCTAAAGAACCGTGTATTTGTCTTCCAGTCAAACTCCTTCCACGTATTACTGTTTATACCTTTGTGACAGCCCTTACACAATGTTTCCCATTCCCCATCTTCAATTATAATATTCAACTCTAACTCCCATTTATTTTTTATGTGGAAGGTGTTATCCGGTAAATCCATTAATAGGTTCCTATAAATATAGGGAACATGATTCTTAGTCGGTATATTGTGCCTAATTATATTGATAAAATATGTTTCAATGTTTGTTGGGGTATTCTTGATTATGTTCCAATCTCTATGTTTTGTAATGTAATCACTAATCTGTAAATACCTAAACATGTCACACGATGGTAACTGAAACTTCTCCTGGAGATAGAAAAAATGGCTGCAAAATATTATCATAAAATAATTGGTCAATAATCTTTAGACCTCTGTCTGC